TGTTTGTTTAGGCTTTAAACGCAGTGTTGTTCTTCCTGTGGTAGAAGTCTCATCAACCCTGACCCAGAGTCCTCGGAGAGACCCGAACACTCGCAGGGATCAGCCTTCTTAGCACCGGGTATAAACTGTAAGTGTTCTGAATGTGAGCGTCTGGAAACAGGACGTTTAGCTGATGAGCAGAACGGGTTCAGAAGGACTCGAGCCGCATCGATCACATTCATACAACTTCAACAGCCGTCAGGACAGAACTGCAGAGATAAATGTCCGTTTGTGTGTTCGGTGGGTTTCCAGAAGGCTTCTGATCGGCTGAAAAGACCTCGCAGCGTTTAAAAGGAGCTGTGGAAGGTAAAGCTGTAACGTCGCTGTGCAGTTCCTCCGCTGAGGGTTAACTCAGGTTTACATCTGAAGGAGTTCACTGTGTTGTTGTACGCAGACGATGTTGTGCTGCCGGCTGAAGGAGGAGGATCTACAGAATATGTTGTTTCTCACTGAGTTCTGCTGCTGCTGTAGTTTCTGGGTATTCACACAGGTGTTCCTCTCTGGCTGCTCAGGTGAGGTGAGCTGGACTCTGCTACAACAAGGACAGAGTGAGATCAGACTGGTTTTATTAACACGTCAGCTGACGGATCAATAAGTTTCCTGTAGTCCAGAACTCTCCGGGCCGCAGACACTCGTGCTGCCTTTGAAGAAGCTGATTGTCAGTAAATGTAGAAACAACTGATCCTGCAGCATAAACACAGTTAGACACAAGGAATGCTTCAGTGATGAAATGTTAAAACCTAAATGATTACGAAGCAGAACTGTGTGTTCAGGTCCGGATGGCCCGGTGAAGAGCGGGAATCCTTCCTGATGCAGGTTTCCAAATGTCCCCGAGGAGCAGAGCCTGAGGAGCAGTGAGGAGCTCAGAGGAGCTGCTGCTGTCAGGATGTTTAATGTTCATACTGCAGAACAAACCTCAGCAGGGATCCATCGGTTTCAGATCAATGAGTGTGATCGGTTGTCTCACCCTCGTTCTCCGTGTGACCACCAGGTGGAGCGCTTCACACAGGAAGTGCAGGTGACGGAGGCCAGGTGTTTCTATGGTTTCCAGATCGCCATGGAGAACATCCACTCAGAGATGTACAGCCTCCTCATCAACACCTACATCAGGGAGCCCGCAGAGAGGTGAGACCGGGTTCTGGTTCTGGTCCCTGCTGGACCC